CAGTGTTAGCAGTGTCACCCAGTATTAGCAGTGTCTCCCAGTGTTAGCAGTGTCACCCAGTGTTAGCAGTGTCTCCCAGTGTTAGCAGTGTCACCCAGTGTTAGCAGTGTCACCCAGTGTTAGCAATGTCTCCCAGTGTTAGCAGTATCACCCAGTGTTAGCAGTGTAACCCAGTGTTAGCAGTGTCACCCAGTGTTAGCAGTGTCTCCCAGTGTTAGCAGTGTCACCCAGTGTTAGAAGTGTCACCCAGTGTTAGCAATGTCTCCCAGTGTTAGCAGTATCACCCAGTGTTAGCAGTGTAACCCAGTGTTAGCAGTGTCACCCAGTGTTAGCAATGTCACCCAGTGTTAGCAGTGTCACCCAGTGTTAGCAGTGTCACCCAGTGTTAGCAATGTCTCCCAGTGTTAGCAGTGTCTCCCAGTGTTAGCAGTGTCTCCCAGTGTTAGCAGTGTCTCCCAGTGTTAGTAGTGTCACCCAGTGTTAGCAGTGTCTCCCAGTGTTAGCAGTGTCACCCAGTGTTAGCAGTGTCTCCCAGTGTTAGCAATGTCACCCAGTGTTAGCAGTGTCACCCAGTGTTAGCAGTGTCTCCCAGTGTTAGCAGTGTCTCCCAGTGTTAGCAGTGTCACCCAGTGTTAGCAGTGACACCCAGTGTTAGCAGTGTCACCCAGTGTTAGCAGTGTCACCCAGTGTTAGCAGTGTCACCCAGTGTTAGCAATGTCACCCAGTGTTAGCAATGTCACCCAGTGTTAGCAGTGTCACCCAGTGTTAGCAGTGTCACCGAGTGTTAGCAGTGTCACCCAGTGTTAGCAATGTCACCCAGTGTTAGCAGTGTCTCCCAGTGTTAGCAGTGTCACCCAGTGTTAGCAGTGTCTCCCAGTGTTAGCAGTGTCACCCAGTGTTAGCAGTGTCACCCAGTGTTAGCAGTATCACCCAGTGTTAGCAGTGTCTCCCAGTGTTAGCAGTGTCTCCCAGTGTTAGCAGTGTCACCCAGTATTAGCAGTGTCTCCCAGTGTTAGCAGTGTCACCCAGTGTTAGCAGTGTCTCCCAGTGTTAGCAGTGTCACCCAGTGTTAGCAGTGTCACCCAGTGTTAGCAATGTCTCCCAGTGTTAGCAGTATCACCCAGTGTTAGCAGTGTAACCCAGTGTTAGCAGTGTCACCCAGTGTTAGCAGTGTCTCCCAGTGTTAGCAGTGTCACCCAGTGTTAGCAGTGTCACCCAGTGTTAGCAATGTCTCCCAGTGTTAGCAGTATCACCCAGTGTTAGCAGTGTAACCCAGTGTTAGCAGTGTCACCCAGTGTTAGCAATGTCACCCAGTGTTAGCAGTGTCACCCAGTGTTAGCAGTGTCACCCAGTGTTAGCAATGTCTCCCAGTGTTAGCAGTGTCTCCCAGTGTTAGCAGTGTCTCCCAGTGTTAGCAGTGTCTCCCAGTGTTAGTAGTGTCACCCAGTTTTAGCAGTGTCTCCCAGTGTTAGCAGTGTCACCCAGTGTTAGCAGTGTCTCCCAGTGTTAGCAATGTCACCCAGTGTTAGCAGTGTCACCCAGTGTTAGCAGTGTCTCCCAGTGTTAGCTGTGTCTCCCAGTGTTAGCAGTGTCACCCAGTGTTAGCAGTGACACCCAGTGTTAGCAGTGTCACCCAGTGTTAGCAGTGTCACCCAGTGTTAGCAGTGTCACCCAGTGTTAACAATGTCACCCAGTGTTAGCAATGTCACCCAGTGTTAGCAGTGTCACCCAGTGTTAGCAGTGTCACCGAGTGTTAGCAGTGTCACCCAGTGTTAGCAATGTCACCCAGTGTTAGCTGTGTCTCCCAGTGTTAGCAGTGTCTCCCAGTGTTAGCAGTGTCTCCCAGTGTTAGCAATGTCACCCAGTGTTAGCAGTGTCTCCCAGTGTTAGCAGTGTCTCCCAGTGTTAGCAGTGTCACCCAGTGTTAGCAGTGTCACCCAGTTTTAGCAGTGTCACCCAGTGTTAGCAGTGTCACCCAGTGTTAGCAGTGTCTCCCAGTGTTAGCAGTGTCACCCAGTGTTAGTAGTGTCACCCAGTGTTAGCAATGTCACCCAGTGTTAGCAGTGTCTCCCAGTGTTAGCAGTGTCACCCAGTGTTAGCAGTGTCACCCAGTGTTAGCAGTGTCACCCAGTGTTAGTAGTGTCACCCAGTGTTAGCAATGTCACCCAGTATTAGCAGTGTCTCCCAGTGTTAGCAGTGTCTCCCAGTGTTAGCAGTGTAACCCAGTGTTAGTAGTGTCACCCAGTGTTAGCAGTGTCACCCAGTGTTAGCAATGTCACCCAGTGTTAGCAGTGTCACCCAGTGTTAGTAGTGTCTCCCAGTGTTAGCAGTGTCTCCCAGTGTTAGCAGTGTCTCCCAGTGTTAGCAGTGTCTCCCAGTGTTAGCAGTGTCACCCAGTGTTAGCAGTGTCACCCAGTGTTAGCAATGTCACCCAGTGTTAGCAGTGTCTCCCAGTGTTAGCAGTGTCTCCCAGTGTTAGCAGTGTCTCCCAGTGTTAGCAGTGTCTCCCAGTGTTAGCAGTGTCACCCAGTGTTAGCAGTGTCACCCAGTGTTAGCAGTGTCTCCCAGTGTTAGCAGTGTCTCCCAGTGTTAGCAGTGTCTCCCAGTGTTAGCAGTGTCTCCCAGTGTTAGCAGTGTCACCCAGTGTTAGCAGTGTCACCCAGTGTTAGCAGTGTCTCCCAGGGTTAGCAGTGTCTCCCAGTGTTAGCAGTGTCTCCCAGTGTTAGCAGTGTCACCCAGTGTTAGCAGTGTCTCCCAGTGTTAGCAGTGTCTCCCAGTGTTAGCAGTGTCACCCAGTGTTAGCAGTGTCTCCCAGTGTTAGCAGTGTCTCCCAGTGTTAGCAGTGTCTCCCAGTGTTAGCAGTGTCACCCAGTGTTAGCAGTGTCACCCAGTGTTAGCAGTGTCTCCCAGTGTTAGCAGTGTCACCCAGTGTTAGCAGTGTCACCCAGTGTTAGCAGTGTCTCCCAGTGTTAGCAGTGTCTCCCAGTGTTAGCAGTGTCTCCCAGTGTTAGCAGTGTCACCCAGTGTTAGCAGTGTCTCCCAGTGTTAGCAGTGTCTCCCAGTGTTAGCAGTGTCACCCAGTGTTAGCAGTGTCTCCCAGTGTTAGCAGTGTCTCCCAGTGTTAGCAGTGTCACCCAGTGTTAGAAGTGTCTCCCAGTGTTAGCAGTGTCACCCAGTGTTAGTAGTGTCACCCAGTGTTAGCAGTGTCACCCAGTGTTAGCAGTGTCTCCCAGTGTTAGCAGTGTCACCCAGTGTTAGCAGTGTCACCCAGTGTTAGCAGTGTCACCCAGTGTTAGTAGTGTCACCCAGTGTTAGCAATGTCACCCAGTGTTAGCAGTGTCTCCCAGTGTTAGCAGTGTCTCCCAGTGTTAGCAGTGTAACCCAGTGTTAGTAGTGTCACCCAGTGTTAGCAGTGTCACCCAGTGTTAGCAATGTCACCCAGTGTTAGCAGTGTCACCCAGTGTTAGTAGTGTCTCCCAGTGTTAGCAGTGTCTCCCAGTGTTAGCAGTGTCTCCCAGTGTTAGCAGTGTCTCCCAGTGTTAGCAGTGTCACCCAGTGTTAGCAGTGTCACCCAGTGTTAGCAATGTCACCCAGTGTTAGCAGTGTCTCCCAGTGTTAGCAGTGTCTCCCAGTGTTAGCAGTGTCTCCCAGTGTTGGCAGTGTCTCCCAGTGTTAGCAGTGTCACCCAGTGTTAGCAGTGTCACCCAGTGTTAGCAGTGTCTCCCAGTGTTAGCAGTGTCTCCCAGTGTTAGCAGTGTCACCCAGTGTTAGCAGTGTCACCCAGTGTTAGCAGTGTCTCCAAGGGTTAGCAGTGTCTCCCAGTGTTAGCAGTGTCTCCCAGTGTTAGCAGTGTCACCCAGTGTTAGCAGTGTCTCCCAGTGTTAGCAGTGTCTCCCAGTGTTAGCAGTGTCACCCAGTGTTAGCAGTGTCTCCCAGTGTTAGCAGTGTCTCCCAGTGTTAGCAGTGTCTCCCAGTGTTAGCAGTGTCACCCAGTGTTAGCAGTGTCACCCAGTGTTAGCAGTGTCTCCCAGTGTTAGCAGTGTCACCCAGTGTTAGCAGTGTCTCCCAGTGTTAGCAGTGTCTCCCAGTGTTAGCAGTGTCTCCCAGTGTTAGCAGTGTCACCCAGTGTTAGCAGTGTCACCCAGTGTTAGCAGTGTCTCCCAGTGTTAGCAGTGTCTCCCAGTGTTAGCAGTGTCACCCAGTGTTAGCAGTGTCTCCCAGTGTTAGCAGTGTCACCCAGTGTTAGCAGTGTCTCCCAGTGTTAGCAGTGTCTCCCAGTGTTAGCAGTGTCTCCCAGTGTTAGCAGTGTCACCCAGTGTTAGCAGTGTCACCCAGTGTTAGCAGTGTCTCCCAGTGTTAGCAGTGTCTCCCAGTGTTAGCAGTGTCTCCCAGTGTTAGCAGTGTCTCCCAGTGTTAGCAGTGTCTCAGTGTTAGCAGTGTCTCCCAGTGTTAGCAGTGTCACCCAGTGTTAGCAGTGTCTCAGTGTTAGCAGTGTCTCAGTGTTAGCAGTGTCTCCCAGTGTTAGCAGTGTCTCAGTGTTAGCAGTGTCACCCAGTGTTAGCAGTGTCTCCCAGTGTTAGCAGTGTCTCAGTGTTAGCAGTCTCTCACTGTGGTTGTTGATTGGAGTACACCTTGTATTGTAATTGCCAACTTCTAGTTGTCTCAATATTGAACCCACAAGGAAAGTCTAGGGAACATTGTCTTTATACGTAACGGTAAAGCCACCAACATGTCTCAGGTGTTGAAAGTTTTGCTGTACTGACCAGTCCAACCAGACTAGAAGTGAGGTTTCTCCTATTGGTACTCCACATTATCCTTAATTCTGATAAATGCTAGAGACAGGCAGTCCAAGAGAGTGGCGCATGATGGGAGTAGACTTGTCCATCATATATGGGTGGCAAGAGATGTGCCTGAGGGTTGTAGGTTTCTTGGCTGCCTTGCTTGCTCCTTGATGTGCATCACCCCTTTCTTTCTCACTCACACTTGTCTCTCCCTCACAGCTGTGGGAAAATTACCGCCAACAGAACACGGAGGGATGGAGCATCTGGCAAGTGATCCTTGACTTCACTGGAGGATCACTCAGCCTTCTGCAGATGTTCCTGCTGGCTGGCAACTACGGTATGTCACTCATCCAGTTGTGTAATGTTACCCCTCACAAACACACCAGGTGACATGTACATTTCACACTGTACGATACTCATCCAACTGTACACTGTGACCCAACAAACATACCAGATTAGCTGTGTACACACCACTATGTGTAACTCATCCAGCTCGTGTGTGTATCCTGTGTGTAAAGCAGCTACTGTTTGTTTGTTTGCAGCCTCCTGTTTGTTAATGCAGTCTCTGTTGGAAACGTTGTAGTGAGCGTGCTTTATGATGGCGTGGAAACGTGTTCCAGAAATCTTCATCCTTATTTTTCAACCAATATTTGCATATTTGTTTTTTTCTTCGCTTAACCTAAATTTTGCAAATTTTGTGATCCAAATCAGGTTGATATTTGTAGAACCCTATGTCTATATTACTTTTTAAAACATTTAATCCATGTGTATACTGTATTTGGATTGTATCCTTTTACTTTACGTCTATCAAGAGAAAATATATTCACTTGTGTTTAAAGTTACTCTTCATAAGGAAGGTTCCTACGTGACTCTGTAGCCTCGCATGATAACTTAATCCGTCCTACAACTGGTGCCCAAACTGGCATATAGGCGTGCAAAATTTGGCCAACAAGCCTACTGTAGTTTCCCTTATTCTTACATTCTTATGATAACGGGTAGTTTTAACGTGTTTATAACAAACGTTTCTGCTATGAATGCTGGTATTCAATTAGCTTTATTCGGAACATTTATTCCTTATTTTGCCCAGGTTTATAGTGACATTAATCATGACCGTCAAATTCGTTTCACTGTTGCTTAGCTGATATCTGTACCACTATCGTCTTTTCCAAAGATCCCTTCTCATGTCATCACTGAACTGCTTCGGCCAGATTTCAGACCATTTTGAAAGACAGTTCAAGTCCTCGTCCATCGTTTTATTTTCCTCTAAATTGCTCCCCGATATTTTGTCAGCGCCAAATTTACTAATGTTACTGTTAATTCTTGTATTTAAACCATTTACGTAAACAGTGAACAATACAGGTCCGAAGACAGAGCCCCGCGGCACTCCACTTGTCACTGTTCCATTGTGCCTTTACTGCATGTATATTTTCCTGTATGATAACCATTTGATCCAGCTTAGAGATCTCCAGTGCCTTGTGTGTCCTCATGTGTGGAAGAGTATCAGATATCTTATAAAAGATAAGGTATATAATGTAATATTTATCAGTCTACCGCCTCAAATTTGCTTGAAAACAACGAGAGTAAATTTATCCAACACGATCCTCATTCTGAGGAGATGTTATGAGTTGTGAGTTTGTGAGATGTGTTGTGAGTTTTACTTTTTTTTAAACTGCATTTCGTATTTCATGCAATAAAGTGTTGCATTGCATTATTTTCTGTTGTATTATATTCTAGTGTAATGTAGACTGTATCTGTATTAAGTTAGACTGCGGCCTCTTTCACTCTCTTGGAGCATTATATTTTTTGTATTGAACAAAATCCGAAGTCTTATTGTATTATGGTGAGTTACAGTTTATTATAAGGTATTGTTGTATTATGTTCTGCTGTACCATAATGTATCATGCTACAGTCTTGCTCTATTATGTGTTCTCGCTGTACTGTAACTTGTTGCGGTGTTTCCATACATTATCTTACTGTATCGTAGCCTTTTGCACTATTGTAACGCACTGTAGCCTGTTACAGTGGCATGCATTATATTACTACCTAACTGCACATGTAATTTATAAGACGTGTTCTGCTGTACTTACTGTAGCCTGTTAACTTGACCGCGTGTTCCCCAGATGACTGGTTCTCTGTACTGACGGATCCAGCCAAGCTAGGATTGGGGCTCGTCTCTGTTCTCTTCGACATAATGTTCTTTATACAGCACTACTGCCTCTACAGGTAAGAACTACGGGTCTACAGCCTACGGGTCTACAGCTAAGCCGAAGTTATCGCATAACTAATCAGTAATAGTTTAGTCTACTAACTAATTGATTTAACTCATTCTATTATAATTTCCATGTATATTTAAATTACCAGGTAGATTTAGCATTATTAAGTCTACCTCCCAAAATTTTGTGGAAGTGGAAACACCCGACATGTAACCAAAATTAATACAGTCCACTCTTAAAATTGATTTAATTATCTAATAACAATACTCGGAAATACTTGTTGGGAAATTCCCCACAGCAGAGGAGGGGTGAGGGCTGGGCAGGTTGTGGGGGTTGAGGGGATGAGGGGGTCATTGGAAGGTGAAATGAAGCAGATGGAATTGAATGCAAAGGCGGTCAGAAGGGACAGGGAAGAGTTCTTGGGGAGAGAAGCATGGGCGAGGGATGGGAGGGCTGATTTGGGGAGGGTGTGACTTGGGAAGGAGTTGTGGGTTGGTTAGGGTTCCTGTGGCGTGCAGGTCGGCTCGCCCTGTGAGCTATCTGTTCATCTCTTGTCATATATCTATCAATAAACACGTTGTAATAGTTTCTGCTACCTCGGAGTAAATGTTAGTGTTGCAGTATGTAATCCACGACCTCTTTGTTAGAGAACTGTACCAGGACAGGTCGATTCTTGTTACAGTTGTAAGGTCCAACCCGGCAGTTGATTTCCACCTCATTTCTTGCCATCTTGGCTCTATTACACCTCTAAATCTCGTGTAATTCAAATTTTTCCATCTCTATCCTTTCATGCCTCAATGATGCCCTGGATTCGAATAATCTAAGGAGGATAATTGACCGCCTTCTCAGTGATGCACTCTCATGCTGGCCGCCCCTCCCCTGGATACCCCCGTCTCATCCCTCCCACACTCCCTACTCCATCCCCCACTAATTCCCTCCCACTATAGCCATGCTGTTAGTTCTGCCTAATTAATTTGCAAGCCGAATACATTTACTTCCCCATGCTTCCCTACTCTTCCTAATTTCTCCCTGAATATAGTCCAGAAGCTCTTGTTTTTGTCTCTCAACCTCGTCCTGTATTTGTTTAAAGATCTCACTTTTAATCCCCTGGATTAGATCCTCTATCCAAACATTCCTCCTCTCAACAAATTTCCCTATCAAACCACAAACCGATCCTCTTCTTCATTTATACTACTGCTTAACCTAGACGCCCTTCCTGATTTCGTCATTGCAATAAACAACCTTAGCCAACAGGCATTCCAATTACCTTACACGATCTGCTATACACAATATAGACGAGTGAGTCTCCAGGCGTCTCTCCGCATGGTGTAACTAGGATAAGGGCCGGGGTGAGGTCACGGTTCGTCACAGATTGAGGCTGGTGAGGTCACGGTCAGGAGCGTGAGGTCTGCTCCACTACTTCATACTGCCACAATGTGTTCAACACTTATTTTCAATTATGCTATGTCTACTTTCTTTCTTCACTTCCTTATGGTTTGAGTCAATTTCTGAGTTTTTCATTTACTTGTAAACCCTTTTTCACTTCGAAGTAGCCTGATTATCCCTCCTACTTCACTAGTTCCCAGGAGCTTCCCAACCAACGACCATCCACCACGACTGACGACCAACGACTGTGTGTGTGTGTGTGTGTGTGTGTGTGTGTGTGTGTGTGTGTGTGTGTGTGTGTGTGTGTCAGGGATTCTGTCAGTGACAGAAAAAAATACTCCCATGTAAGACCTGTGAGAGAGACTCGAGTTGTGTAGTGATGACTCAGGCAGTCTTGTGGTGATGACTCAGGCAGGTCTTGTAGTGATGACTCAGGCAGGTCTTGTGGTGATGACTCAGGCAGGTCTTGTAATGATGACTCAGGCAGGTCTTGTGGTGATGACTCAGGCAGGTCTTGTGGTGATGACTCGAGCAGGTCTTGTAGTGATGACTCAGGCAGGTCTTGTAGTGATGACTCAGGCAGGTCTTGTGGTGATGACTCAGGCAGGTCTTGTAGTGATGACTCAGGCAGGTCTTGTGGTGATGACTCAGGCAGGTCTTGTGGTGATGACTCGAGCAGGTCTTGTAGTGATGACTCAGGCAGGTCTTGTAGTGATGAATCAGGCAGGTCTTGTGGTGATGACTCAGGCAGGTCTTGTGGTGATGACTCAGGCAGGTCTTGTGGTGATGACTCAGGCAGGTCTTGTGGTGATGACTCAGGCAGGTCTTGTGGTGATGACTCAGGCAGGTCTTGTGGTGATGACTCAGGCAGGTCTTGTGGTGATGACTCATGCAGGTCTTGTGGTGATGACTCAGGCAGGTCTTGTGGTGATGACTCAGGCAGGTCTTGTAGTGATGACTCAGGCAGGTCTTGTAGTGATGACTCAGGCAGGTCTTGTGGTGATGACTCAGGCAGTCTTGTGGTGATGACTCAGGCAGGTATTGTGGTGATGACTCAGACAGGTCTTGTGGTGATGACTCAGGCAGGTCTTGTAGTGATGACTCAGGCAGGTCTTGTAGTGATGACTCAGGCAGGTCTTGTGGTGATGACTCAGGCAGGTCTTGTAGTGATGACTCAGGCAGGTCTTGTGGTGATGACTCAGGCAGGTCTTGTAGTGATGACTCAGGCAGGTCTTGTGGTGATGACTCAGGCAGGTCTTGTGGTGATGACTCGAGCAGGTCTTGTAGTGATGACTCAGGCAGGTCTTGTAGTGATGACTCAGGCAGGTCTTGTAGTGATGACTCAGGCAGGTTTTGTGGTGATGACTCGAGCAGGTCTTGTAGTGATGACTCGAGCAGGTCTTGTAGTGATAACTCGAGCAGGTCTTGTAGTGATGACTCAGGCAGGTCTTGTGGTGATGACTCAGGCAGGTCTTGTAGTGATGACTCAGGCAGGTCTTGTGGTGATGACTCGAGCAGGTCTTGTAGTGATGACTCAGGCAGGTCTTGTAGTGATGACTCAGGCAGGTCTTGTGGTGATGACTCAGGCAGGTCTTGTGGTGATGACTCAGGCAGGTCTTGTGGTGATGACTCAGGCAGGTCTTGTGGTGATGACTCAGGCAGGTCTTGTGGTGATGACTCAGGCAGGTCTTGTGGTGATGACTCAGGCAGGTCTTGTGGTGATGACTCAGGCAGGTCTTGTGGTGATGACTCAGGCAGGTCTTGTGGTGATGACTCAGGCAGGTCTTGTGGTGATGACTCAGGCAGGTCTTGTGGTGATGACTCAGGCAGGTCTTGTGGTGATGACTCAGGCAGGTCTTGTAGTGATGACTCAGGCAGGTCTTGTAGTGATGACTCAGGCAGGTCTTGTGGTGATGACTCAGGCAGTCTTGTGGTGATGACTCAGGCAGGTCTTGTGGTGATGACTCAGGCAGGTCTTGTGGTGATGACTCAGACAGGTCTTGTAGTGATGACTCAGGCAGGTCTTGTAGTGATGACTCAGGCAGGTCTTGTGGTGATGACTCAGGCAGGTCTTGTGGTGATGACTCGAGCAGGTCTTGTAGTGATGACTCAGGCAGGTCTTGTAGTGATGACTCAGGCAGGTCTTGTGGTGATGACTCAGGCAGGTCTTGTGGTGATGACTCAGCCAGGTCTTGTGGTGATGACTCAGGCAGGTCTTGTGGTGATGACTCAGGCAGGTCTTGTGGTGATGACTCAGGCAGGTCTTGTGGTGATGACTCAGGCAGGTCTTGTGGTGATGACTCAGGCAGGTCTTGTGGTGATGACTCAGGCAGTCTTGTGGTGATGACTCAGGCAGGTCTTGTGGTGATGACTCAGGCAGGTCTTGTAGTGATGACTCAGACAGATCTTGTAGTGATGACTCAGGCAGGTCTTTTAGTGATGACTCAGGCAGGTCTTGTGGTGATGACTCGAGCAGGTCTTGTAGTGATGACTCAGACAGGTCTTGTAGTGATGACTCAGGCAGTCTTGTGGTGATGACTCAGGCAGGTCTTGTAGTGATGACTCAGGCAGGTCTTGTAGTGATGACTCAGGCAGGTCTTGTGGTGATGACTCAGGCAGGTCTTGTAGTGATGACTCAGACAGGTCTTGTAGTGATGACTCAGACAGGTCTTGTAGTGATGACTCAGGCAGGTCTTGTGGTGATGACTCGAGCAGGTCTTGTAGTGATGACTCGAGCAGGTCTTGTGGTGATGACTCGGGCAGGTCTTGTAGTGATGACTCAGGCAGGTCTTGTGGTGATGACTCAGGCAGGTCTTGTGGTGATGACTCGGGCAGGTCTTGTGGTGATGACTCAGGCAGGTCTTGTGGTGATGACTCGGGCAGGTCTTGTAGTGATGACTCAGGCAGGTCTTGTGGTGATGACTCGGGCAGGTCTTGTGGTGATGACTCGAGCAGGTCTTGTAGTGATGACACAGGCAGGTCGTGTGGTGATGACTCAGGCAGGTCTTGTAGTGATGACTCAGGCAGGTCTTGTGGTGATGACTCAGGCAGGTCTTGTGGTGATGACTCGGGCAGGTCTTGTGGTGATGACTCAGGCAGGTCTTGTGGTGATGACTCGGGCAGGTCTTGTAGTGATGACTCAGGCAGGTCTTGTGGTGATGACTCGGGCAGGTCTTGTGGTGATGACTCGAGCAGGTCTTGTAGTGATGACTCAGGCAGGTCTTGTGGTGATGACTCGAGCAGGTCTTGTGGTGATGACTCAGGCAGGTCTTGTGGTGATGACTCAGGCAGGTCTTGTGGTGATGACTCGAGCAGGTCTTGTGGTGATGACTCAGGCAGGTCTTGTGGTGATGACTCAGGCAGGTCTTGTGGTGATGACTCGAGCAGGTCTTGTGGTGATGACTCATTCAGGTCTTGTGGTGATGACTCAGGCAGGTCTTGTGGTGATGACTCGAGCAGGTCTTGTAGTGATGACTCAGGCAGGTCTTGTGGTGATGACTCAGGCAGGTCTTGTGGTGATGACTCAGGCAGGTCTTGTAGTGATGACTCAGGCAGGTCTTGTGGTGATGACTCAGGCAGGTCTTGTGGTGATGACTCAGGCAGGTCTTGTGGTGATGACTCAGGCAGGTCTTGTGGTGATGACTCAGGCAGGTCTTGTGGTGATGACTCAGGCAGGTCTTGTAGTGATGACTCAGGCAGGTCTTGTAGTGATGACTCAGGCAGGTCTTGTGGTGATGACTCAGGCAGGTCTTGTGGTGATGACTCAGGCAGGTCTTGTGGTGATGACTCAGGCAGGTCTTGTAGTGATGACTCAGGCAGGTCTTGTAGTGATGACTCAGGCAGGTCTTGTGGTGATGACTCAGGCAGGTCTTGTGGTGATGACTCAGGCAGGTCTTGTGGTGATGACTCAGGCAGGTCTTGTAGTGATGACTCAGGCAGGTCTTGTGGTGATGACTCAGGCAGGTCTTGTGGTGATGACTCAGGCAGGTCTTGTGGTGATGACTCAGGCAGGTCTTGTGGTGATGACTCAGGCAGGTCTTGTGGTGATGACTCAGGCAGGTCTTGTGGTGATGACTCAGGCAGGTCTTGTAGTGATGACTCAGGCAGGTCTTGTAGTGATGACTCAGGCAGGTCTTGTGGTGATGACTCAGGCAGGTCTTGTGGTGATGACTCAGGCAGGTCTTGTGGTGATGACTTGAAGCAAAATGCCTTGAAAAAGACTAATATCACCTACACCTTCACGTGTCCACTTGGGGGCTGCTAGCCCAAACGATCTCAGTACATGGGCAAGACATAACAAAAAAATTCATGGAGATTGAGAATGCACAAACAGCAAGACCACATCTAGTAACATATGGTCTCTACACACAACCAGATCATCATCAAAGATATCCTAACAAACACTAAAATAATTGACAGATACAAGGATAACAGAAGATTTAACTCGACCTCATAAAATGATAATTTAATTATAAACTTCTTAAAGCATTTTACCTAAGCCTACACTGACCTGCAAATTTGGGTGAGGCTAGCCCCAGGCGTCTGGCCTCCAGCTTGGCACAGGCAGACATTATTTCTGAATTATCATTTCTATGAAATGTCTATATTATAATTTTTGACTTTTCACAGGCATCCCGGCGTGAAGGCGAACACAGCCTCGTCCCTCCAGCTGGTGGGGAATGATGATATGTCGCAGAGTGGCAGTTATGTCACCCACCACCTGTAGACCTCCACAACCACCTGTAGACTACCACAACCACCTGTAGAGTACCACAACCACCTGTAGACTACCACAACCACCTGTAGACTACCACAACCACCTGTAGACTACCACAACCACCTGTAGACCACCACAACCACCTGTAGACTACCACAACCACCTGTAGACTACCACAACCACCTGTAGACTACCACAACCACCTGTAGACTACCACAACCACCTGTAGACTACCACAACCACCTGTAGACTACCACAACCACCTGTATACCACCACAACCACCTGTAGACCACCACAACCACCTGTAGACCACCACAACCACCTGTAGACCACCACAACCACCTGTAGACCACCACAACCACCTGTACACCACCACAACCACCTGTAGACTACCACAACCACCTGTATACCACCACAACCACCTGTAGACCACCACAACCACCTGTACACCACCACAACCACCTGTACACCACCACAACCACCTGTAGACCACCACAACCACCTGTAGACCACCACAACCACCTGTAGACTACCACAACCACCTGTACACCACCACAACCACCTGTAGACTACCACAACCACCTGTAGACTACCACAACCACCTGTACACCACCACAACCACCTGTACACCACCACAACCACCTGTACACCACCACAACCACCTGTAGACTACCACAACCACCTGTACACCACCACAACCACCTGTAGACTACCACAACCACCTGTACACCACCACAACCACCTGTACACCACCACAACCACCTGTAGACTACCACAACCACCTGTACACCACCACAACCACCTGTACACCACCACAACCACCTGTACACCACCACAACCACCTGTACACCACCACAACCACCTGTACACCACCACAACCACCTGTAGACCACCACAACCACCTGTAGACCACCACAACCACCTGTAGACCACCACAACCACCTGTACACCACCACAACCACCTGTACTCCACCACAACCACCTGTACACAACCACCTGTACACAACCACCTGTACACCACCACCTGTACACCACCACCTGTACACCACCACAACCACCTGTACATCACCACAACCACCTGTACATCACCACAACCACCTGTACATCACCACAACCACCTGTACATCACCACAACCACCTGTACACCACCACAACCACCTGTACATCACCACAACCACCTGTACACCACCACAACCACCTTTACACCACCACAACCACCTGTACTCCACCACAACCACCTGTACATCACCACAACCACCTGTACATCACCACAACCACCTGTACATCACCACAACCACCTGTACATCACCACAACCACCTGTACATCACCACAACCACCTGTACATCACCACAACCACCTGTACATCACCACAACCACCTGTACATCACCACAACCACCTGTACATCACCACAACCACCTGTACACCACCACAACCACCTGTACATCACCACAACCACCTGTACATCACCACAACCACCTGTACACCACCACAACCACCTGTACACCACCACAACCACCTGTACATCACCACAACCACCTGTACATCACCACAACCACCTGTACATCACCACAACCACCTGTACATCACCACAACCACCTGTACATCACCACAACCACCTGTACATCACCACAACCACCTGTACACCACCACAACCACCTGTCCATCACCACAACCACCTGTACACCCCCACAACCACCTGTACACCACCACAACCACCTGTACACCACCACAACCACCTATACACCACCACAACCACCTGTACACCACCACAACCACCTGTAGACTACCACAACCACCTGTACACCACCACAACCACCTGTACACCACCACAACCACCTGTACACCACCACAACTACCTGTAGACTACCACAACCACCTGTACTCCACCACAACCACCTGTTCACCACCTGTACACCACCACAACCACCTGTAGACTACCACAACCACCTGTACACCACCACAACCACCTGTACACCACCACAACCTGTACCTGTAGACCCCCACAACCACCTGTAGACCACCACAACCACCTGTACATCACCACAACCACCCGTAGACTACCACAACCACCTGTACACCACCACAACCACTTGTACACCACCACAACCACTTGTACACCACCACAACTACCTGTAGACCACCACAACCACCTGTACACCACCACAACCACCTGTAGACTACCACAACCACCTGTACACCACCACAACCACCTGTACACCACCACAACCACCTGTAGACCACCACAACCACCTGTACACCACCACAACCACCTGTACACCACCACAACCACCTGTACACCACCACAACCACCTGTACACCACCACAACCACCTGTACACCACCACAACCACCTGTACACTACCACAACCACCTGTACACCACCACAACCACCTGTACACCACCACAACCACCTGTAGACCACCACAACCACCTGTACACCACCACAACCACCTGTACACCACCACAACCACCTGTACACCACCACAACCGCCTGTACACCACCACAACCACCTGTACACCACCACAACCACCTGTACACCACCACAACCACCTGTACACCACCACAACCACCTGTACACCACCACAACCACCTGTACACCACCACAACCACCTGTACACCACCACAACCACCTGTACACCACCACAACCACCTGTACACCACCACAACCACCTGTACACCACCACAACCACCTGTAGACCACCACAACCACCTGTACACCACCACAACCACCTGTACACCACCACAACCACCTGTACACCACCACAACCACCTGTACACCACCACAACCACCTGTACACCACCACAACCACCTGTACACCACCACAACCACCTGTACACCACCACAACCACCTGTACACCACCACAACCACCTGTACACCACCACAACCACCTGTACACCACCACAACCACCTGTACACCACCACAACCACCTGTACACCACCACAACCACCTGTACACCACCACAACCACCTGTACACCACCACAACCACCTGTACACCACCACAACCACCTGTACACCACCACAACCACCTGTACACCACCACAACCACCTGTACACCACCACAACCACCTGTACACCACCACAACCACCTGTACACCACCACAACCACCTGTACACCACCATGAGCACAAGCAGTACAATAAGTGTCAGGAGTACCACAGGTACCAGGAGCTACAGGAGTGACAAGAACTACCAAGGGTACAAGGTGTACCAAGATTACGCTGGGTAGCAAGAGTACCACTATGTTGTCGCGCCGGAAAACTCAACAAGTCAGCAGCAACAAGTCAGCAGCAACTAGTCAGCAGCAACAAGTCAGCAGCAACAAGTCAGCAGCAACAAGTCAGTCAGCAACAAGTCAGCAGCAACAAGTCAGTCAGCAACAAGTCAGCAGCAACTAGTCAGCAGCAACAAGTCAGCAGCAACAAGTCAGTCAGCAACAAGTCAGCAGCAACTAGTCAGTAGCAACAAGTCAGTCAGCAACAAGTCAGCAGCAACTAGTCAGTAGCAACAAGTCAGTCAGCAACAAGTCAGCAGCAACTAGTCAGTAGCAACAAGTCAGTCAGCAACAAGTCAGCAGCAACAAGTCAGTCAGCAACAAGTCAGCAGCAACAAGTCAGCAGCAACAAGTCAGCAGCAACAAGTCAGCAGCAACAAGTCAGTCAGCAACAAGTCAGTCAGCAACAAGTCAGCAGCAACAAGTCAGCAGCAACAAGTCAGTCAGCAACAAGTCAGTCAGCAACAAGTCAGCAGCAACAAGTCAGCAGCAACAAGTCAGCAGCAACAAGTCAGCAGCAACAAGTCAGTCAGCAACAAGTCAGCAGCAACAAGTCAGCAGCAACAAGTCAGTCAGCAACAAGTCAGTCAGCAACAAGTCAGCAGCAACAAGTCAGCAGCAACAAGTCAGTCAGCAACAAGTCAGTCAGCAACAAGTCAGCAGCAACAAGTCAGCAGCAACAAGTCAGCAGCAACAAGTCAGCAGCAACAAGTCAGTCAGCAACAAGTCAGCAGCAACAAGTCAGTCAGCAACAAGTCAGTCAGCAACAAGTCAGCAGCAACAAGTCAGCAGCAACAAGTCAGCAGCAACAAGTCAGCAGCAACAAGTCAGTCAGCAACAAATCAGTCAGCAACAAGTCAGCAGCAACAAGTCAGTCAGCAACAAGTCAGTGAGTGTCTACTGTTGATCACAGCTTGACGGATAATCTACTGATATTCTCATTGATACGTTAATGTGATGTCTCTGTGCACTGAAGAGGAAGAGTTAGAGTTACTGGAGGATAGAGCCAGAGTGCGTGAGAGGAGTGTGTGAGATCCTGGTTCAGCATCAGTGGAAGCCTCAGCAACTCTAGATGATTCATTTAAATCCCAGGTTATAATCCTTTTGATTATGTCGTGGCCTAGTCATCTAAGGCATTTGCTTGGGAGTCCCAGAGCATAGGTTCGAATCCTCATTACGGCCCCTATTGATTTTCACATGATGTAATAAATATGAGTAGTTAATCCCCTACACTGCGCAACACGACAAGTCTGCAGAGCGGATTAATGACGTCGTGTATCAACACGTGCGGCCCGGTCACTGACCAGTGACAGCCCATAAGAAACCTTAAGGTTATAGCCTAGTAAGTATATAGCCTAGTCTGCCTCGGCACGCCCGGCCGGCGCTCTGCTGGAGACGTGCGAGTCTTATCAACATTTTGGAGTCGAGGTCCATGATACAAATCTCATCAGTAACCTTCGCAACAAGCTTCTTGGGCGACTTAAAACATCTCACAACTCTTGTGATCAAAGGATTCGTCATTAACATAAAATATGCTCATAGTTTTGATATTGCTTTTTTTATATTGATCTGTTGTGATTATTCTACATTTCATTTTGTTAATTTATCTCTTAGACAGTTACAAGGCCTAGATGTAGTACACAGGGATGCCATCATCCTGGGATGTCCTAGAACTGTCAGAATTATGAACGTGAGGAAGGAACTAAGACTATCCACTATTTATGAAAGAATAGTTCTATTTAATACAATGTTTTGTGAGGAGTTTTTGACATATAATAGTCCCTCCAGCACTATTCAAATTAAGTTGAGATCCGTTCTAAACAACTCTGATTGTTTCA